TGTATATATATATGTATATATATATATGTATATATGTCACATTAAAGTGACATTTTCGATATTTTCATTTGAATGTGTAAATCTTATTAAAATAACCTAAAAATATTTTTTGATGTACCTTAAGATAAGAAAAATGTACAACAAAAAGAAGCTACTATTATTTTTCTGATATTAGTGTGTTGTGATCAGCTTAACCTCGTCATTAACTCTTGTAGCTGCAGTATCCTATGTATTCTTTTAATTTAACTGGGGAATTGTAAAAGCTATTTGCTTATCCAGAGTATTTGGTATTTTTCAGCTATTTTTTAAGGAATAAATCCAAAACGGACTTATTTTTTGTTAATTTTAAGGGTCATCATTGTTATCTTTTATTTAAGATATTATATTTATCAACTGGAGTACTATGCATTTGAGTTTTTAAACCTGGCTATAGCAGATTGGCATAATGAACAAAATCACTCCTAGTTTTATGAGTTTTACTTTCTTCTGCCCTACACCAACCAGAAAGCAATGTCTGGAAGTCCTGCTGTTGTTATGCGACTGGTGGCCTCAGCCTATGCTGTGGCTGAAAAGGCTGGGACCATTGTACGGAATGTCCTTCACAGTGGAGAACTTGGTATTGTGGAAAAGGTATGACCCCACTATGTGCATTTTGTGGTTTAACAACACTAGCTGCACTCATGGTTAAAGTTTAACATTTCTGTTTCTACTCTTGCACAGACAGGCGCTAATGATCTGCAAACACTGGCAGACAGACTAGCACAGCAGAGCATTTGTGCTTCACTGTCCAAACGTTTCCCCAAAATCACCATAATTGGAGAGGAGGTAAGTATCAACAATATTTAGCCAAATTATTTGCTGTGGGTACCTAGACCTAAAAACATCCTCGTATTATGACAAAGCTCATGAATATTTATATACTTTGTTCAGGATCTTCCTTCTGAAGTGATACAGGAAGATCTAATTGAGACTGGCCAGTCAGAGGAAATTCTTCAGAGGAGTTGTCCACCTGAGTACAGCCAGCTGAAAGAAGAAGAGGTAATCACATGTGGGTTTAGTTTCAGAGGTTTAGCACCTGAATAAAAAAGTATTTTCTGCTATTACAAATCAGTGTTGTACAGTTGTTGCTTGGACACTGTTTACCTCCTACGGTGTATATGTACTTGTTCTGAATGTGTCTATCTGAATTTCAGATAGTTGTGTGGGTAGATCCTCTTGATGGCACAAAGGAATATACTGAAGGTATGCTCTTCTGAAGCATGTCTTAAAAATCTCCTCCCATCTCTGTGTATTCAGCTGCATAAAGCTCTCTGTGCACAAGCCTGCTTGGTTGCTTTCTGGTTCTCAGCTCTCAGAACTTCACTGCTACTTTTTTTGCCTCTTCTTTGTGCATCCCTGCTCCTGCTTATCCACCTGTCCGCTGTCTTTCTGCTGACCCTAGCATCGAGGTGTTTCCATTTCCAAGCTGTGGCCCAGGCACCACACAAAGGGTTGGACACCCCTCAGCCTCACAGCACAGCTCTCTGTATGGGAAGGCAACGGTTAAGCCGGGCCTTGCAGAATATTAATTATTATGGCCACACTAGAAATATTTATGAGTGAAAGTGCAGTAATGTCGTTTAGTGGCTTCCAGCTAACATCCTGCTGCTTCCTGACTTCAGGGCTCCTGGATAATGTGACAGTGCTCATTGGGATTGCATATGGAGGCAAAGCCATCGCAGGCGTGATCAACCAGCCATTCTACAACTACCAGGTACAAGCCAAATCAAAACTGTGTTCAAACTGTCTAACAGCTTTGCTATATAGTGTGTCGGCTATTTTGTAGTACTTTTTGTAAACATCATTCACCTTATAGTACACAACAAAATCATCACAAGACGCACTAAAAACAGCGCACAAAAGCTGCACAGATGAAAGAGTCACCAGAGATGGAAATAATGTGATTTTCTTACCCACTGAGCATGCTGTACCTGGTGAGCTTGATGGCTTCTCAGAGGCAAAATTAGATGTCTCAGCTGTGCTGTGGCCCATCTTCTCCTGATAAACGCTGACTAGAGCCATATTTTAGTCTTCAGTTGCTGAATTGCATTGTACATCTTAGAGATGCATTATAAAATAGCTCGCTTATTAAAAATCTACATGCAAGCTATAACAATAGGCTAGCAGCTTAGCATCTGAGTGAGCAATATAGCTTTAAAATTATAACACAATAGTTCAATGAAATTTGCAATGATGATATTAATGATGATTAACTTTTTAACTTCTAAATTTAGAATAACTAAAGTAATCTAACCTTGTAACTCTCCAGGACCTGCACGATATTGACACCCAATAAAACTGAAACTGAAAAATATTTTCTACCTGGAATGTCGTCACTTCCGTCAAGCTTTTTAACCAGTTGCTTGAACCCCTGCTTTTCCACCGTTTGATATCTGGGCTTGTCTCATTGTTGTGCACATTAGGGAATGTAAAAGCATGATATCACAGTAGGACTCTTGCAGCTGCACATATATGTAACAGAAACAGTCTGTAGTAGTTGAGTGAGTAAGGTTAATTGTGACATTTTCAACATCAGCTTGGTGCAGGAACACAATTAGGAAGAACCATGTGGGGGATGCTGGGATTGGGCGCTTTTGGGTTCCAGCTCCAGGAAGTTCCAGGTGACAGACGGATTGTCACCACCACCCGTTCCCATAGCAACAAGCTGGTAACAGACTGTGTGGATGCCATGGAGCCTCACGAAGTTGTACGAGTGGGTGGTGCTGGAAATAAGGTAAGATGGATCTAAAATTTTCTTCTGACAGTGGTAACAACTCTGTGTACTTGTTCGGGCAGGGTTTTTTAAAACTTATCAACATTATTTTTAATTTCAGAGATCATCAAGACATAAAAACTGCACGTATAGAATGAACAGTCAGTTGATTGATTCCCCGTGTGCCATCACGAGCTTTGAATCCACAGGTTCTGTTAAAGTAGGGTCCTGTGCTCTTCTTATGCTATCATAGGGCTTTGTCTGCAGGCATACCTCACATAATCTACCAAATGCACCCTTCATGCATTTATATCCCACTACTCCATGGCTTTATTTTATGTATCGTCCTTGAGTTTGTGCTTTGTTTAGTTTATTGGTTATCAGCTCTCTCTGCTCTTCTTTCCTCTCACCCCAACCGGCGTTCTCTTTATATTAAAAGATTGCCAGTATTGCAAAGTAGCATTCATAGAAGATTGTTGTAAATGTGGTTTTCTCTCTATTGTTGCAGGCTCTTTGCTTTAGTTTAGCACCCCATTATGAAGGTGGTGAAGGTTGTTACTATATAAATAATAAAAGAAAGATGTAAATCAATATAAAAAAAAGTGCTAACAAATTGAACTCACCTTTTTGCATTAGTGACCAATGAATTATGAAGCAGTGAGATTTTTCTTTTACATTATTAAGATTAAAACTTGGAAAAGTGAATGCTTTTGTCTAGTTACATAGATAAATTCTACACAGAGAGACTGAACGTACATTTTTCTGTCCGTGCTTCTCTACCTGCAGATTATCCAGCTTGTTGAAGGAAAAGCTTCTGCCTATGTCTTTGCTAGTCCAGGGTGCAAGAAGTGGGACACTTGTGCTCCTGAAGCAATCCTGCATGCTGTTGGAGGTGAAAACGTTTAATCATATAGCAACATAATGTCATGTATAGACACTGTTTTTTTTAGGGTTTAAACCACTTTCTAAAATCGTTTCCCAAATATTTCCTGATCATCTCTTTTTCTAATGCAGGTAAACTGACTGATATGCATGGAAATGCATACCGCTATGATGCTAGTGTAAAGCACATGAACTCTGCCGGGGTTCTTGCTACACTCCGTAACCACAAGTACTACGTCAGCAGAGTACCACAGTCAGTGCTGCAAGCTCTCAAGTCAGACTGAGGTCTGTCTTTATGTTGTCAAAACATACAGTGTAAAATCACTGTTTTGTTTTTTTAGTAACCACATTATTTGACTGGTGTATCTAATTTTTAAATGTAACTAGTAACAGCAGTTTTGAGGGTATTCTGTGTTCCTGTGCCTAAAACAAATCACCGTGATTTCTGAGTGTCAGCAGACTAACCAAACTACCACTATGATCTGCACTAATTTAATGAATCAGACACAAGTATTAAAGCAGGCTTAACAGCACTTCCATTTATTTCACTCATTTGAAACAAACTTGTACAAATCTCAGAACATCTTAACATACGGTTTCTCAACTTGAAGACCAATAGATTTACAAGGCAAAAGGCAAGATCTGAAGGTTAAATGTTGGTTAGTGAGTTGGAAATGATGTACTGTACTTGATTCGGTAACCACAAAGTCGGAACAGTCTATACGTAATGCAATGCCAACAACAAACAAAATGCAGGCATCTTGACTTGATACATTTTACCTTCTTTTTACACACAGTAACAGAAAATGCTTTCTGGACAGTGAAAGAGGGCAATTGTCAAACCCCACTGCTGTGAAGAACAAACATACAACTGAGCTGTGAACACTAAAAATGAACTGACAACGACTAGTTAATCCTGTATTTGAAACCTCGTCTTGTATCTAACAAGATGCCGTGTTCTTCATTTTCTTACCTTCTTTTTCTCTTTTTTCACACTGGCACATCTGTCTACTTTTCTACACATTTACTGTATTTATCAGACTAAAGGACACACACTCAGAGTGCTCTCTGAGCGGTGTGGGTCCATGATGTCTGGATTTTTACTTCAGAAGCAAAAAAGGAACCATTTACAATGTTGCTTTATCGATATTTTATACCAACAATGGAAACACCCACTAATGCTTGTTCAGTGATGTGAGGGATTAAAAATGTACACAGTACAGTATGAGTTGTGGAAAAATGGACTTGAAACACTACGAGGAGCATCAGCTTTATACAAATGCCCAACTAAAGATTTAGTTGGCATCTTTTTGAAATTAAGAGGCTTTAATAGCCCTCTCACATAATTGTGCTTGCATACAGCAAGATCTCTAGCAATATTTATTGCACTAACATCATAAAAGTCTCTGGATTTTATTGGCATCTCCATAGGAAGAAAACATTCTTGAGTCGTAAGAAAAGTCTTAGCTGTCACGTTTAAAGATAAAATTCAACATTATGGGAAATATGCTTTGGCCGTACCTGCTAGGTGTGAAATTCATGGTGAATTGATTAACGGTTCGTTTGTTGTGTTGTTTGGGACTGTAGGTACAGCTAACAGAGCTTAGCATAAAGACTGGAATCAAGTGTGTAGCATGACTAGCAGAGATCAAATACAACAAAATCAACATATCAGCACCTCCAAAGCCCAATAATATTAACAAGAACGTTAACAATATTTGGTTTATCTGGACGAACAAAAAAAAAAAAAAACACACTAATTTTAAAGGCATTTCTTTGAGTATACTTTAATGCTGTACACCATGTACAGTACATACTTATATAGTATGTGAATTTTAAGAAGGTAGTCCAAATTTGATTGCAATCAAATTTAATTTGTGAATAAACCTAAAAAAAATAGTACTCGAGGAGCTAAATCTAACAATCGACCTGGTAGATACTTTGCTCATGCAACCCTGCAGCTCAGTCTCACTGCAAAACCTGAAGGAGTAGACAATACGACTAATTTTGAACAAAAATTGTCCTTTTTGTTGACACTTTACCCCAGCACTGAATTTAATGCACTTCAGTTGGAAGTACCTCTTGTGCCCACATGCGCTGCTTTAAAACATTTGCTACACCTGTTTAAACCCAACCCATGATCTTTTCCTAAATCTAACCAAATATTTTTGCTGCCTAAACCAAACCAACACCTAAAAACACAACTAAAGCCTCAAAGTATCAATTAGGAAAACTTAAAATTGTTAGTCCTGAGTGTCTCCAGAGTCTTTTGCACTTTCAGACTGGAAGCACAACAATTTGTGTCTTAATTAATGGATCTGTGCTCATGGCACATCTGTTTTGCAAACTAACACCCGTGATGGTGGGAAATGCACTAATGCAACAAACAGCCATTCTGTGGAGGGGTCCTTGAGAGCACATCCATACTTTTGAAAGCGTGACAAGTATTGAGATGCAATGTGTCCTTAACAAGAGATCTGTCAATTTAAGTTTTATACTGGGAAGTCTGAAGAGTGATTTCAGGCCCTTGTGAAAGCCATATTTAACAGGTGAGAAGTCTTACCTGATATTTTGCAGGAACACAAAGGAGCATATTTCCCAAAATGTTTAATGATTTAACCAGTGTAATACTTGAGATAACACAGTGGGAATCGAGATGAGACTGGAATTATTTGGACCTGTAGGCTGGGAGAGTGCTGATTTTACACATTGCTTAAACAAAGAGCTCATCTCAATCACACAAGCGTGCATGCATTTACAAAACCACGATTTTTATTTTTTTTTAATCTGAAGGCAAAGAAGCATCTCACCCATTTCGAAAAAAGGTTGGTGTTAATATTCCTGAATGAGCTGAGTAAATATACTGTAGCATTAAAAAAGAAAAATCACTCACATATTCATAAAAATACCCACAGAACAAGCAAAACAAAAAACCCTCTCTTTGAGTTTTTATTTACACGTGAATAAACTGACCGAGAAGGCTGCAGTGTTTGAGGCAGCCTGCAGGGATGTGGGCCAAAGCCCAGCCAGAGGAGGAGCAGGAGAGTCGGGGCCAGCTGCTCACCTCTTTTTAGGTGCCTGAGTGGTACGAGGTGGGGTGACCGGGCGTCCTGAATTCACCCCCCCATACTGATACTTAGCTTTTTTCTCTGACGGCTTCAGGATCTGAAAAGAACAGATAGCAGTGTTGACATAAGCCTACAGAGGATTTAAGGGAGATTTAATGTGCCATCAAAATTAACACGCTCTACCTGAAAAGAACACATGAGCGATTCGTCCACGCTCATCATGCCGCCTGCATTGTCAAACTCCCCACAGTAATTGGGAGCAGAAAACAGGGTCACCAGCTGCCGCTTTGCAAAGAACTCATAACCATCCTCAACAACCTGTGGGGTGGCAGGATTAATACAAGTAGACTGACTGAAAATTAACTGGCACCTATTTTGGTAATCAATTCAATTCAGTTATTTTCAAGGCTTGTTTTTTTAAAAGATTGTTTTGGTAGCTTAATGTTCCACTCAGTAAACCAAAAATATTTTCTACTTGGTGGTTGTAAGTCATTCAAGAATATTTAGGGAACATGTTTTGCATACAAAATGATCAGATCTGTTTTCACTTTCGAGCTGTAATAAATAAAAATGATTTAATTCAATTAAAACTGACCAAACTTGTTTTCATTAACAAATGGAAGTTTAATTATCAGCTGAGCCATTTTAATACAGTTGTATGTCATCAAGTAGCTTGAGTGTTACCTGATGTGCTCGACAGATGAGGTCCAAGTCGTGGCGGTTGAGGAACTTGCTGACCACATCAGCCCCAAAGGTGAAGGAGACGCCCCGATCATTTTCACCCCAGCCCTGGACATCTTTGTCTGGATCAGACCACAGCAGGTCGCACAGCAAGCCTGGAATGTGGCACATTTAGGTCAGCAGTGCAGTCGAGTTGAGCAGCCTATTTTTGTAAACTTCTACATGTAATTGTATGTTTAAAAAACTGACATTTCACCTGTTGGTTAGTGAAACTGTTGTGAAGACTTGTTTCTGAGCGACATCTTGGTGTTTTAAATCCAAACTTGTCACCATGCACTGATACAGTAGAGACTTGTCAATCACAAGTCAGGCTCACCCTAAACCGTACATAACTGAAACTAGTCAGCAAGACCATAACCTCATCACAAAAGTGTTTATGGTACCATCCAGCAAAGTCGACCTCAAATTGACATTACTAGTCGATTTGAGCAGCACAGCCCTCCAGCTGCTGAAGCTGGAATAAGACACTTTTTGTAAAAAAAAAAAAGAGGAAAAAAATGGTTTTAAAATTTCTGGTTTTGACTTGTCCTCTCATATATCAGTGCTGATGTGGCGGTAGCTACGTGTACCGTGACAGTGACCATAAATGGGCGTGGCTATGTGATGGAATTACCAGAAGTGATGGGTATGGTCACCCTGACAGGCCATTGTAAAAATTCAGTCTAAATGGGGGTTCAAAATGGAACAACTAACAGCGATATGGAAAGCAAAGATCCAGGAATGCCATTAACAGTCAGATGCTTCAAATGACAACAGATGAAAAACCTTAAGGACATGAAGTGGACCACTCCTGAGTTACATTTTTCCTCATCTCTGAGGTGAGTGATCTAAACAGCTCTGAGTGGGAACAAAGAAAGTGCTGACTGACATAAGGGGGTGGTAAAAACATAAGAGAGTTACCTAGACAACCAGAGCCTAAAATGTCCTGTAATGAGCATCTGTCAGCTACAAAGCAAGGCACCATGAGCAAATCGTTTCATATCTGGATGGGGCTTAAGGCACTATGACAATGGCTTTACTCTTTAAACCTCAAAGCTATGTCCATCCTTTATATACAGTCTACATGCTAAAGCAGTAGGTGATAATGTATTCATAATTTTACACAGTGGGAAATGACTACAGATACTGTATATATGATGATCTTCATGAATCTATTAACTTAAACACAGACCTGTGTCTGGGACATCAGTGGGTCTCATAATACGTCGGATTTGTTCCATGGACTGTAGATCAGGTGACAGTCCTGAGCAAAAGAGGACAGTATTTACTACATGCATCAGTAAAAAATTTAGACATGACAAAAACAAAGTTGACTAATGTCATGAATTACCAAGTATTTACTGTAGTTAGTAAAATATGTTAAGTTAATGCAATAGTAACAAGATATATTACTAGCTGAGCCCTCAAATGCATTTAAATATCTAAGAATGATAAATGGAGTAATTCTATATGATCACTCACTGCCTATTTAGAGGCACACTTTTAATTCACAGAGACAAATTATTCAGCCGTACTTTGTTACCTCCCACATAACAGATGTTTCACAAACCTCCGTGACAGCAGAAAATCTTCTCATCAATAATCGCAGCAATGGGCAGACAGTTAAAACAGTCTGTGAATGTCTTCCAGAGCTTTATGTTGAACCTGCGTTTGCCTGAGGAAAATTTAACCAAAAACAATTTCCAATTCAGGTGTGTTATTTTACATCCATGAAAACCTCCGTT